TTCTTGTCAATTCCACTGATTATGCTTACAAAATATTATGGGTAATCTCACTGATTATGATTATTACAAGAATATTACCACATATACCAACAGCTATATAGTATGATTTATTGAAGTTATGGAATTTTATTTGGAGGCCTTTGTGTGATTATTTAGTTGGTAGGAAAAGGTTGCAATAATCCCAAAATCTGTCTTAGTGGCAACCATGTGTCAAAGCCATATCAGTCTTCCTAACACCTGGTCTTATATCACAACCAAAGAGACACGTGTCTGCAGAACCTTACACCTGTTGCTGCCAACTGCCTTATCTTCTATTACATTCACACTTGAATCAAAACAGAAAAGAAATCAGTGCACAGGGAGAAAGAGAGGTCCAGCAGTAAGGTTTTATTGTGAGAAAGACAGAAGGAGGAAGGGAAAGGAAGAAGAAAAAAGGAGTTGGGTTGTAGAATACATCATCACCTCATCCCCATCTTCATTTTTGTCATCTTTGGGTAGGGTTCTCTATACCTTTAGTTGCTTGGAGTGGTTTTACTTCCTAAATTCCTAGGTTTGGCCATGAAATTATCTGTTTTAATTGCTACATGTGTTTCACCCAAATTGATAGTCAAATCCTGATGTTGTTCATCCTTTCTTGAGTTTCTTGTTCCATTTTGCTGAGAAACAACCAGGTCTTGTATATATAAGTTTTGTGCTACAAATGATTACATATTTTCTGTAAACTCACTTCAATGTACCTTTAAACCTCTTTGAAGCTCCTGTTATGGTTTTTCCTACTGGGCTGTTAGCTCACCCTATCATTTTTCAGGTACCCAAAGATCAATTGGAGATTTGGGAGTTGCTGACTAGCCCTATTTAGAGACTGAACTGGTTTTGTATGTTAGGACCGTTAGGTATTTTCTGAAATGCTTGTATAGAGCTGACTTGACGATCTTGATGTAATTGAGGGCCGATTGTATGACATACAATGTGTGGTAAAGGATTTTGGGTGATTGGGACTACATTCTGCTGTGGGTTGTATGTTGAAAGGGGGTGATGGAAAGTAGGCTGGTTTGTGTTTAAACCACAATTTTGGGTTGTGACAGCCCTCCTCTAGGCAACAACGCGGGCGGTGTGACCATTGCGGGAAGCTTGGTCACATCAAATCTCGCTGTTATGCACTACATATTTAATGTATGTTTATTTATTTATTTAATTGGTAAGAAACTCACACCCCCATTTGCCCCTATGAGAACATGAACCCTCACCATCCACTTTGGGAGGTAGAGGAAATGCCACTAAGCTTCAAGGCCCTTGGTAATTTATATTAAAATTATTTACAGAAAAGGAATAAAAAAGATATTATATTATAACCATACACCAATTAATATAAAAATAAAATAATTATAAAAGTGTATTAGAAAGCTAATTTCTCTTCCTATATTCGGACCCCTATTTTGGGGGTATTTCCTTAGCATATGAAATGTTGCTAAGGGGTTTTCGATGCTATTTGTGACTTGTTTGGGCTGCCGGTTTGTTTAGCAGTAATGTTCTTCGCCTTTGCCATGTCTCTTGCAGTTTTTATTGACTTGTTTGGGCTGCTAGTGTGATCGGTAGCATTATCTTCATAGTTGCCGTGTCTCTGGTAGTTTTTATTAACTTGTTTAGGCTGTCGGCGTGTTCAGTAGCCTTTTCCTCGTCTTTCCCGTGTCTCCAGCAGTTTTCTGTTGACTCGTTTGGGCTGTCGATGTGTTCTGCAGCATTGTTCTTTGTCTTCTCTCTTCTCTTTTCATCATTTACACTTGTTACCCGTCATCTCAATGGCAAGTTGGGCATTCATGCTCCAACTTAAGGAGGAGTATTGAAGATTTAATGGAGGAAAATCTTTAAGTAATTGATGTTGTTTCCTATTATTGAAGATTTGATGTTACTAAAGGAATCAATGGAGAAAAATCCTCTTTGTTTTCTATTTTCTAATTCTTTCCATTCACATAATTTCTTCTACTATATAAAGGAGCCTCCACCATTGTATTGTATACAAATTGAGAGAGTATTATAAGAGTGATGTAGCCCTTTGGGCTCTTTATGCCGTGGATGTAGGCCCTAATGGCTGAACCACATAATATCAGTGTATTCTACTTGTTTTATTTATCTCTTCGCTTCCGTTTTATGCTTTACAACATGGTGAAGGTGTACAATAGTCAAATGAGGCACCATGATTTGTGGAGGATTTTGCTCCATTGTTATATAGAAATATTTATAATTGGAAGGAAATTGACCGGATCACCATGATTGGGGGAGGATTTTACTCCACAATTATATAAAAATATTTATATATTTCAACACTCTCCCTCAAGTTGGAGCATGAATATCATGAATGCCCAACTTGCTAAAGAAGCGCCTTGAAAGATGATGAGAAAGTGTCCGGAACAAAGCCAGGAAATTGACCAGATCTTGCTAGGGAAAATAAACTGGAACTCGCCGGAGAAAATGGCTGGAACTAAGCCGAGAAAAGGCCGGAACAACGCCGGGAAAATGGCCGGAGCTATGCCGGGAACATGGCCAAAACTAAGCCGGGAACATGGCCGGAACAACTTCGGGAAATGGGCTAGAACAACATCGGGGAATGCCGAGGTGCTAAACCATCCGAAAAACAGACTGGAAGGGAAAGTGTTAAAATTTGGATGCGAAAATGAAAAATGAAAATATGAAAAGGGAAGAGAGAAAGATGGAGAACACAGACATATACATAGTTCGGCACTAAGGCTTACACCAATGGACAAAGAGCCACTAAGGGCTACATTTTTATTATTCAGATCTACATCATTTCAGTACAAAGAGCCTATATATAGACATGGTAAATATAAGAAAGTATGGAAGGTGTACAATATAGTCAAAGGAGGCACCGTGATTGGTGGAGGATTTTGCTCCACCGTTATATAAAAATATTTATAATTAGAAGGAAATTGCCCGGATCATCATGATTGGTGAAGAATTTTGCTCCATGATTATATAGAAATATTTATATATTTCAACAAAAAGGAATGTGATGACATGGAGAACATGCTTTATGATAATAATACCAATACTCCCCCTCAAATTCTAAATGAGATTTCAAGAACATCTAGGCTCTGATACCATGTTGTAAAGCATAAAACAAAAGTGAAGAGATAAATAAAACAAGAACAACACAGAGATATTACGTGGTTCAGCCACTAGGGCCTACATCCATGACATAAAGAGCCCAAAGGGTTACATCACTTTTATAATACTCTCTCAATTCATATACAATACAATGGTGGAGGCTCCTTTATATAGGAGAAGAAATTATGAGAATGAAAAGAATTAGAAAATAGGAAATAAGGACGATTTTTCTCCATTGATTCCTCTAGTAACACAAATCTTCAATGATGGGAAACATCAGTTACTGAAAGATTTCCCTCCCAGTATTCCTCCATTAAATCTTCAATACTCTCCCTCAAGTTGGAGCATGAATGCCCAACTTGCCATTAAGATGATAAGTAACAACAAATGTGAATGATGAAGAGAGAAGAGAGAAGACGAAGAGCAATGCTACCAAACACATCGGCAGACCAAACAAGTCGATAAAAACTGTCGGAGACACGGCAAAGACAAATACAATGCTACCGAACACACCGACAACCCAATCAAGTCAACAAAAAACTACCGGAGACACAGGCAAAGGCGAGGATAAAGCTACCGAACACACCGGCCGCCCAAACAAGTTGATAACTGTCGAAGACATGGCAAAGGCGAAGAACATTACTGCCGAACAAACCGGTAGCCCAAACAAGTCACAAATAGCACCTAAAAACCCTTAGCAACATCAGATGCCAAGGGAATACCCCAAAATAGGGGTCCGCACCTAGGAAGAGAAATTAGGCTCTGATACCATGTTAAATTTTGGATGCATAAATAAGAAATGCAAATATGAAAAAGGAAGAGAGAAAGATGGAGAACACAGGCATATACATGGTTCGGAACTAAGGCCTACATCCATAAACAAAGAGCCACTAAGGGCTACATTTTTATTATTCAAATATGTATTTTGCTTGAGTACAAAGAGCCTATATATAGGCACGATAAAAATCAGAAAATATGGAAGGTGTACAAGTCAAAGGAGGCACTATGATTCGTAGAGGATTTTGCTCCACCGTTATATAGAAATATTTATAATTGGAAGGAAATTGACCGGATCACCATAATTGGTGGAGGATTTTACTCCGCAATTATATAGAAATATTTATTTATTTCAACAAAAGCGTTAAAAAGGGAAACGCATCCCAAGAGCTATACAAAAACCAAAACCAAAAAAGGTGTCCTATGGACCCAAAGAACCCAAAAAGTCCACGATTTCATCTAAAGATATACAATTTCTCCCCATCACCCAACTAAAAAGATAACTAATAATAGAAAACTTCAACGCCCCAATGGAGGATTCCTCCCCATGAAAAGATCTTCTATTCCGCTCTTTCCAAAAACTCCATCATACACAGAGGGGGGTCACCATCCAAAAGTCATAAGCATGAACTCCCACCATGTGGCCCCTCCAAACGTCAATCAAATCCCTTGAAGTCCGGGGCATAACCCATTGGACACCAAACAGACCAAAATAAAATAAATAAGAAAGGAAAATATCCAAGTTATCATGAAAAATATATTGCATTCTAGAAACGTTCGTATCGAGATGCACACCTCTGTAATAGAAAATTTTCAGGCTTAAGTAACAATATATGCATTCATAGGTTCTTTCATGACGATGCATACAGGTTAAATGCATTACATATCCTAATAATACCTATCGTTAACATGTCAACAGTATATAGCTATGGCTGTGCGATTAGATTTAACACTCATATAAGAAGCATTATTAAATTGGATAAGAAAGTGAAAAGAACTTCAAACAAAAACCTCCAAGGGAAATCATGATTAAATGGTGTTCTTTCTGCCGATTTTCATTTATTAACCCATTCCATGATACAGCTTGTGTATCTTCTCACCTGTCTGGTCTCTTTTGCATTTCTGATTAGACCATCGAGACAGTCATTGATGACCTTAAGGTCATTATGGAACTTTCGCTGCCTGGGGACTATCCATCTTGCCAAGGGGATTTTCCAATAAGGAATGTAGAAGGTTGACCGATGCTCAGCTTCAAAAAGAGTACCATATACTGCCTGTAATATATTGTAGAAGTGCTGACCATAAGTTAATATCAGTCAACATATCAGACATCTAGGGGGTGGAATAAACAGGGGAAAAGCAAAAACAAAAAATAAATAAATAAATGAAACGAAGATCTAAAGAACAAAATTCCCTAGAAGTTGGTAAATCAGTATGAGAAAGTATCGGCTTTTATGATTTAAGTAGAAATATACTGAAGCTAAGCATGTTAGTTTGATGGATGGCCGACCCTATTCATATGGGAAAAAAAGGCAAGGATGATGATGATAGATTGATGGAACTTATTGTCAACTTCCCTTAATTTCAGAAAATAAGGAACTCCTATGAGATCCTTTGAGTTTCATATTCTTCTTAATGTTCTTGTTCAGGTAAGGATAAGGATTAGAGTAGTAGATGGCTCTTTGCCATTTTGTCTCTGGAAAAGGTTTTATTTGTAGTTCTGCATCTATATCACTTTGATGTTCAACATGCCCTAATTTATCTACTAACCTTCTTGAAAAACTCATTGAATTGTTCCGTAACATTCTTTCCTACTCACAGCATTTTTAAGGAGCTGGGGAAAGGCAGATCAGTTGACGGTGTTAAGGCACATGGAGGTTTATATCTACTAGAGACATCATCTTGTTCCCAATCTATGAATTTATCTCGCCAGTCAAGCCCTTCAGGTTGATGGTAGTCATGCACTCCAAAGATTACATCGGTAAAATCCATCTTTGGAGCCTTGGAAATGCTTTTTCCTCTTTTCAATTAAGAAGTGTGATAGCAATAATTTTATTTGTGATGTTTTTTGACTTTTTAAACACAAATGGAATTATTGTCCTAGTAATAGAAATAAAAGCATAGCTCCTTTCACTGTGTTTCAAGTGTGCTTGGGTAAATTATTATAGGTCTAGAGAGAGGTTTCGAATACTAAGGAGGCTGTCCCGGCTGTATGTAAGTGGGCAGCACTCCTAAAGGAAAGTCTGTACTTGGAATTTTCGAGAATGGTCTGAGGAGACATTAAAGATTGTTTATGGTCTAAAGAGACACTTTGATTAGCTGACAGGATTTGTGGTGTTTTGAAGTCGTTTAATGTCGTGTGATAAGAGCATGGTAGCTCCTTAAAGAAAATCATGTGTTTATTGTGTGATTGCTTTACTTAACTTCAAAGTTTTATATACGACTATAAAATGGATTAATCCATCTAATTGCTTGTAAATTTTATTTTTGAACTGTCGCTAACTTAGTTTAAATTCCAAAATTCGTTAATTAGTTGAATAAGAACTATTCTCCCACTCCATGTTTAGATCACGACCTTGCACTACTCTATATCAGATATTCGAGATTTTTGGGAAGACTTGTACATCATTCTCAAATGTGTCTAACTATAGCACATGCAGACTCTAATACGTGTGTTCTTGGTCAATATATGCATGGCCCTCACGATGGGACAAGGGCTAGAACAATGGAGCTTTCAAGAGACTAAACTTGATCTCTTGACCACAAATCACAAAACAAATGAAGGCTAATGTACACTATAACTTGAAGGCTTTGATTTCACTCTATTTGACTTGATTTTGAAAGAGATACAAGCCTCTATTTATAGGCTATACCTTCAATACAAATTTACTAACATTCATCTCCCTTTCTCATGATTCACTTCCCCTCCCTCGGGGGTCATAAAAGGGTATAAAACTTACATATAGCACTTCACCTTTCTCAGGCGATGTGGGATCATAACACCCTGTAACCTGCCAATGCTCGCCCACATCACACCCGTCCATAGAGGTCGTCACAATGAACCCCTATGGGGCCCAATGTCCTCATTGACCACACTTCCGACTGGATTCCGGCTCTGATACCATTTATAACAGCCCTCACCCTATCCAGACACAATATTGTCCGCGTTTTGGCTCCCCCGGACCAAAGACTCGTCCATCCCGGTACTACTCCAAGTTAAGCACGCTTAACTCTAGAGTTCTAGTAGGTTCACGGCCATCACGGCTTTAAACTACCAGAACTCTGGAGTTAAGTGTGCTTAACGTGGAGTAGTACTAGGATGGATGACCCCCTGGGAAGTTTCTGATCCGGGGGAGCTAAAAGCGAACAATATTGTGTCTGGATTGGGTGAGGGCTATTCATCTCCCCTAACATGATTCATCTCCCTAAACAACCATTATTATAAATCCAAAAGTCACACAAGAAAATACATTAACCATAATAAACTACGCATGTATGTAGGACCATGCATGTATGTAGGAAAACAAAAGAATCTAGCTTAACATTCTAACACCCCCTCTTAAGCTAGACATCCTTTTCTTTTCTTTTTTTGATAAGTTCTTAAGCTAGACATCTTTATCTTGACAAGCAACTCCCTCTTCAAGGGTAGACATCTTTATCTTGACAAGCAACTCCCTCTTCAAGGGTATGATCTTGAGACTTGCAAAACTGAACTTTAATTTCTCCATCCTTGACTAAATCTCGAATGAAATGAAACTTAATCCTGATGTGCTTGCTACTAGCATGAAACATAGGATTCTTGGACAATGATATAGCTGAATTGTTATCACAAAACAACTTTGTGGCTTTATCTTGCACTTCGTTCAATTCCTCCAGAATCCACTCAACCGCATAACTTGACAACCAGCCGATGCAAGGGCAATATATTCAGATTCCGCAGTAGAGAGTGCCACAACAGGTTGTTTCTTTGATGACCATGAAACTGCACTAGAGCCAATGTTAAAAACATGTCCAGAAGTGCTCTTACAACCATCAACATTTCCATCCCAATCAATGTCGCTAAAACCAACCAATTTTTAATTTTCAATATGAGAATAATGGAGACCATGGTTAATTCTTCCCTTCACATAAATCAGAATTCTCTTCCCAAGTTTCCAATGAACATCTCTTGGTGATTCCATGAAGCGGCTAAGACAATTTACCGCATAAGTGAGATCCGGTCTTGTAGTAGTCAAATACATAAGACCAGCAATGAGACTTCGGAAGAGTGTTTGATCAATCATTAACTCTCCATCATTTTTCCCTATCTTTAGACCAACTTCTATAGGAGTACTGATTGGTTTAACATCTTCCATTCTAAACCTCTCCAACAACTCTTTTGCATTTTTTTTTTTTAAGAGATAGAAATCCCATCTGCATTTTGTTTTACTTCAATTCCAAGAAAGAAATGAAGTAAACCCATATCTGTCATCTCAAATCTTTGCATCATGGCCTTCTTAAAATCGTCAAACATTTCAACACTATTGCCCGTGAATATTAAATCATCCACATATAAACAAGAAATGAGTATATCACCTTAAGAGTTTTTCTTGGTATAGAGAGTGTGCTCATATGGGCATTTGTGAAACCCATTCTCTTGAAAGTATGCATCAATTTGGCTATACCAAGCCCTCGGTGCTTGCTTCAATCCGTGCAAATCCTTCTTCAATTGACATACCTTTGTTTCTTCATTTTTCTTCACAAACCAAGGGGTTGGTCAACATAAACCTCTTCTTGTAAGATTCCATTAAAAACACTGACTTCACATCGATTTGAAAAGACTTTCCAATGATTTTGAGCTGCAAGTGCTAACATCATACGAATGGTGTCAAAGCGGGTACAAGAGCAAAAACTTCACTATAGTTTGTTTGTAACCTTTGGCAACTAGCCGAGCTTTGTACTTTTCTCAGTTTCACCTTCCGTATTTAACTTGGTCTTATACACCCATTTTACTCCAATGGACTTCTTTCCTTTTGGAAGATCAACAAGCTCCTAAGTATTATTTTTCTCTATGGCTTCAATTTCTTGATCCATCACCCTGATCCACTTTTCATCCTCAAATGCTTCCTCAAAGGTGATAGGATTGGTATCAATGAACACGGCAAACTGTATACCACCATTAGTAACCATAACATAACCATTTGATGGATACCTTTTGGATGGTTGATATGGCCGATTTGATTTCCTTATTGGTCACAAATTTTGCTCTTCAAGTTCATTTGTGTCTTCAGCACCCTTATCAGAAGGTGATGAAGAAGAAGATGATGGAGATGGTGGGATAACACCTTCACTTGGTTCTTCCGGTCTTCTTCAAGGAAAATTGGACTTTGCTTTTCATTTTCATTCCATTGCCAAGATTCTTCTTCAGTTAATTTCACATCCCGACTAACAATGATTTTGTTGGTTAGGGGATTGAACAACTTGTATGCTTCGGCTTTCTCACTATACCCAACAAAAATGCATTTCTCATATATTATCCAACTTGCTTCTTGTTTGATCTGGAATATGACAGTAGGCAATGCTGCGAAATATTCTTAAGTGACTAACACAAGGCTTCCATCCACTCCAAGCTTCTTGAGGAGTCATATCTTGCACACTTTTAGATGTTGCACGGTTAAGAAGATACACAGCACATGCCACAGCTTCTGCCCAAAATGTATTAGGCGTTAGTTTGGCTTTAAACATACTTCTAGCCAACTCCATAATTGTTCTGTTTTTCCTCTCAGTGACCCCATTTTGTTGGGGTATATCGGCCAGTAAATTGATGCCTAGTACCATTTTCTTTCAAGAAAAACTCAAATTTCATCAAATGTATATTCACCTCCTGGATCGGAACACAGTTTTCAACATGTATCCACTTTGCTTTTCAACAAAGGCCTTGAACACTTTGAAATGTCCAAACACGTCTGATTTGTTTGAGATACCCATGTCTTTCTACTATAATCATCAATGAAAGTGAGAAAATAACAATTACCTCCAAGTGATGTTGTATTCATAGGGTCCACATAAATTTGAGTGCACCAACTCAAGTGGATAAGAAGCTTTCCGGGCCTTCCCAATTGGAAAAGACTTTCTTTGATGCTTTCCAAGTGCACATCCTTCACATACCTGCACTTGATGATCAATGTCCGGCATTACCGTCACCAAAATCTTCTTGCACATTATAGACAAAGTATTAAAACTCAAGTGCCCATAACGAAGATGCCATAGCCATGAAGAATTATTCATGAGTGCACTTTAGCACGCTGATTTCTCATATTGGCTACTCAAAGCAAACATGTAGTTTGGGGACATCTGCAGCTTCGTAATTAAAGAGTCGTTTCTGTCTCTAATTACGCAAAGATCATCCTTAAAATGAATGTCATGTCCTTTCCGAAGAAGCTGGCCAACACTTAAAAGATTGTAATTCAAATCTGGAACATAGAGCACATTGGAGATCTGCTTTCGTTCTCCTTTCTTTGAAAGAAAAAGAATATCTCTGCATCCTTTGGCCAAAAGCTTTTTATCATCACCGATTTTGACTTCAGATTGAATTGTTTTGTCAAGATTGATAAATGCTTCTTTGTTTCCAATCATGTGATTGCTGCAACCACTATCAAGATACCATGTGTCACCTTGAGAAATTTCACTGGCTTTGCAAGCAAGCAAAATCATTTCATCATCCTCTCTGAATTTTTTTCATGCATGAAACTTGATTCCACTCCTTCCTGTTCGGGCTTAAATCTGCAATACGCCTTGGTGTGCCCATATTTCTTACAATTATAACATTGAATTGAGATAGATTAGAGTGGTGACCTCTTCCTCTACCTCTCCTTCTTGAGTGAACATTGTTGCTTGAAGGACCTTGAGAATAAAATTATTTTTGGTCTTTTTCATTAGCATAGCCAACACCACGACCACGACCACGCGCATTTCCTACTCTACCACAATTTGATCCACCTCTTCGTCTTCCTCTTCCTTTAAAAGAGACTTGGGATTGAAAAGCTTGCTCAAGAGGAGATGAGTCAAATTGCTTTGGGTGCAATTCATGTGATTGAAGAGAACCCATTAAACTATCTAATGACCAAGTGGACAAGTCTTTATATTCTTCAATTGCCACCATAATATATTCAAATTTGCGAGTCATGCTACGAAGAATTTTTTCCATAACCCTTTTGTCTTCAATTTGTTCTCCATTCACTCTCATTTGGTTGACAAGAGAGATTACCTGATTGAAATAAACTTCTACCGATTCTGACTCTTTCATGCGCAACATGTCAAATTCGCCTCGCAATGTTTGCAATCTTGCCATTTTTACTTTATCTTCTCCTTTATATGAAGCTTGAAGTGTGTCCCAAGCTTGCTTTGCCGATGAAATTCTTTCAAAAATAACTTCATCTACAATTTGGTAGATAAAAAACAATTCCTTCTTGTCTTTCTTATGATTTTCTTTCAACTCACTCAGTTGTTGTGGAGTGAGAGTTGTTTGATCCGTTGGCTCTGTATAACCAGTCTCAACAATCTTCCATAAATCTTGGGATCCATACAGGACCTTCATTTGGATGCTCCATTGAGTAAAATTCTTCCCATTGAATCTTGGAAGTTGGGGCTGCAACATGTTGTTGTTGGAAGCCATTGATCTTGAACTTGGCTCTGATACCCCCATGATGGGACAAAGGCAAGAACAATGGAGCTTTCAAGACCACAAATCACAAAACAAATCACAAATCACAAATCACAAAACAAATGAAGCCTAATGTATGCTATAACTTGAAGGCTTTGATTTCACTCTATTTGACTTGATTTTGAAAGAGATAAAGCCTCTATTTATAGGCTACACCTTCAGTATGAATTTACTAACATTCATTTCCCTTTTTCATAATTCATCTCCCCTTACATGATTCATCTCCCTAAACAACCATTATTGTAAATCCAAAAGTCACACAAGAAAATATAATAACCATAATCAACTATGCATATATGTAGGACCATGCATGTATTTAGGAAAACAAAAGAATCTAGCTTAACATTCTAACACCTCATCCCACTCACTTAAGGGTAATCTATCATATGATGAAATACCTAAAATTGGATTTGGAAAAAGTAATATTGTTTTTTAATTATGGTTATCTAAAGCAGAAGCCGCAACAGCTTCAGCTTGGGCAGGTTCATCTGATGATCTTGTGGCTTTAAATTTTGATGGGTGATTTTGGATTTGATGTTGGACCTATGTGACTACACTATCATACTGAGACATTCGTCAACATTAATCATAATCCAGTTCAATGTGAGACGAGAAATCATATTGAGATCAACATACATTTCATCAAGGAAAAGCTAAATGATGGAATGATTTGTATGCCTTGGTAGAAAGGTTTTTCATTCAATTGTATGCAAGCTCGGCATGAGAAATATCCGTGCACCAACCTAATTAAGTGTTGGAAAATAATATTTAGAGGATAGGCTTTGTGTAACTATCAGTTATTTATGTAATACAAATACGGGTATAGAAATGAGAAATATGACTCATTCTATAAAACCCTGTTAGCAGATATGATAGCCCCACGATTTATGGAATGACTTACCATATTAGAAGAGATTTGATTGTGCTATAAAATATGCCTTAGAATATGCTGTGATTTGATTTAATTTATTTTCTTGAAATATGAGCATGTGCTCTTTTTATCTATAAATACTAAACCTGTGAATGAATGATTTATCTCATTCAAACCTTTACATAATATAAATCTCATTCAAGCCTTTACATAATTCTCTCATATTTCTTCTTTTTATATTTCTACTAACCCCTTTTACATTATTTCTCTCATTTCTCCTTCCTCTTTCCTCTCTTACTCCCAACACACTAATTTCCACCAATATTGAGTTTCGGCTAATACAAAATAAATAAATAAAACAAATTAAATTTAGAAGAAGTGGAAATGAAAAGGAAAGAAAAAAGAACAATAGAGCCACTACAGCATACATAGAATACAACCCAAGTAAAAATAAAGATGGCAGACAAGACAGCCTAGAAAAGATATTTTAGATGAAAATACAACTTTCGACACAGTTTAGAGATTCATGTACACAACAAGGTAAATAATCAATAATCATAACAACATACATGCACTGGAAAACAATTGTAACACCAATAACAATGTCAAGACTGTTTATCATCTAATCAAACCTTAATCAGAGGGGATTCTTTTGTGATGGAGCCAAAGTCATAATTAAAAACACCCATCCCAATAATATCAAGTGCCAAACTAGAAAATTCTGCTTCCAGATCCAACTCAATCATATTCCCTCCACGTGAACCTTCTGCTTCCAGAAGATTCTCAATTTTCAATATTGTTTTTTCAGAACAATCTGTAAATATTTTGACCATAGCTTCCAAGTACAAGGAATGGAACCCAGGAGCAATAACTGCAAACATCCAAAAACAAATTAAAAATGTCACTCATTAAAGAAAAAAGAGCTTCAGCAAGAAACAAGGAGAGAATATCACTAGGTATCATAGTTGTTAAAGGCTCAAGGCGCACAAAAGCGCAAAGGCCTCCTGGAGCCTGGGGCTCAAGGCGAGGGGCGCGCCCAACTGAAGCAAGGCGCACGTTGAAAAAAAAAAAAAAAAAACAAAACCCACCCAATAAAGTATTAAAGATGCAAAAGTCAACTAAATGAATTACTTAAGTTCAATATTCAACATAAAGATGCCAAAGCCAACTAAATCAAGTACTTGAGTTCAACAGTGAATAATCAAACATATTAACATATTATTTAATATTATTTCGATCTCAACTTATATATATATATATATATTTATCCCATGTTTGGATGTGCTATTATTATTTAAAGTCAAATCAAATCTAATTTTCATTAAGCATGAATAAAATGTTTTTGCAAGCTGCAAGCACCATGTTTGGATGCATTAAATAGAAATTATGAATTTATCTTGCAAAAACCACAAGGATGTGCTATATTTTCAAATCAAATCAATCTAATTTTCTATAAGCAGTAAGCAACATGAATGATTGATTCTATTTTTCATTTTTGGGTAAGTAATTGATTGATCTCTATTAAACAGATTAATAAGGAGTAAACAAAATCAACAGAAACAGAGACAAGCATAAAAATAAGTACCGGCAGTAACAGAGAAGCATAAAAACAGAAACAAATTGATCATCAAAGTTCAAACACAAAAACAGAGACAAGCATAAAAACAGAAACAGATTGATCATCAAAGTTCAAACACATGCAAGGCACTTATCTAGACAAGCAAAAAAAAAAAATAGAGGACCAACATAAATAAAAAAAAGAGGACCAGCCTAAAAAAATAAATAAATAAATAAAAGAAGAGCCGAGAGAAGCTGAGAGCCGAAAGTATTAAGATATTTCAAGTACTTACAACAAAAGAGCCGAGAGAAGAAGAAGAAAAGAAGAAGAAATTGAAGCAAGAGAAAAAGAAAGAAGAAGAAGAGAAAAAATAAAAAATAAAAATAATCTGAGACAGAGAGATGATAGATCCGGGCCTCTGGCAGATCCGAGAAGAGAAGAAGCAAGAAGGAGAGAAGAAGAAGAAGAGAGGGAAGGAGAACTTACCGGCAAACGCAGATCTGGCAGATCCGAGAGTCCGAGACTGAGAGGCTTCGCAGATCAGGCTCATGTACTTCTCTGTCTCTTCTTTCCTTTTGCTTTTTGGTTCTCTTTTTTTTTTTTTTCGTTTTGTAACTTGTATAGGTTTTGTAATAATAAAAAGTAATAAACAAATAAAAAGTAACAATAAACAAATAATAAACCATACAAAACCAAAATAATAACAAAATAATCAAAAAAAAAAAAAAAAACCATTTTTCACCTTGCGCCTTTTATACAAAGGCGCTCGCCTAGTACAACCCAGTCGCCTTAAGGCATGCAAGGCGACAAGCTAGGTACTTCACCACTTTAACAACTATGCTAGGTACTTCACCATGATAGAAAAGACAAATACAGAAATCGTAAGCAAACAAGGAAAGCACATATCACATGTACCTGATGCCAGTATAATATAATAGCAATTTGTTTCAATAGTTCCATGATTCAACTCACAGAACAATTTAGAGACTCAGTGATTCGACTTGCAGATGGCAAAATTGTAGAAAATTTTGAAACATATAATACGGAAGAAAGTGATATGGACGGGGAAGATTGGACAAGCGGTCAAGCCCCTTTCCAGAAATAGATGACAAAGAGTCATTCGCAACTCTAACCTTATCCCTACCAGAACAAGTTGAATAAGACGAGAAAAGATAAGAAGAACCTGTCATATGATAAGAGGCTCCAAGAAGAAATACAAGATAGAAGGAATAGAAGTGTAAAGGCTTGAATGAGATAAATTACACATTCACAGCTCTAGTATCTATAGATAAAAGGAGCACGTGTCAATGTTATAGGAAAGGATATTAAATAAAATCATTGCAAATTCTATGCCTAGATATACGCATAAATAAAGTCAAAATCCATGATTTAAGGTTATCATATCTCAGCTAATATAGTAAACCACATCCCATGATTTGTGGCTATCATATCGCGGCTAATATAGTAAGTCACATCCTATGATTTGTGGCTATCGCATCTCACCTAACACTCCCCCTCTAGTCGGTGTGTCGAAATCTGGGACGTCCAACTTAGACAATGTATCCTCAAACACAATCTTACTAACTCCCTTCATAAGAATGTCTGCAAGATGCTGAGAGCTAGTGACAAACGGAGTGCAAATTTGACAAGAGATAATCTTCTCTCGAATAAAGTGATGGTCAACCTCTATACGCTTAGTTCTGTCATGCTGAATGGAATTTGCTGCAATGCTAATGGCAGAATTGTTGTCATAGTAAAGTGAAAATGGAAGCAACACTGGACAGCACAAGTCTGTCATCAACGTTCTTATCCATAACAACTTACACACTCCAAGAGCCATAACACTATACTCGACCTCTACACTAGATCAAAAGACAACATCTTGTTTCTTTCTACAACAAGTAACCAAGTTGCCACAAATAGTAGTACAGTAGCCCGAAGTTGACCTCCTATCTGAAATTGATCTTGCATAATCAGCATCTGTCCAGGCCTCACCCGTAAGCGACAACAATTGGCAAAAAAAAAAACCACGGCCCGAACAACCTTTCAAGTAGCGAAGGATCTAAATAACTGCATCAAGGTGAAGAATATGAGGAGATTGCATGAATTGGCTCACAATACTCACAGCATAAGTAATGTCTCGTCGAGTCATCAATAAATAGATGAGCTTCCCAACAAGTCACTGACTGTAACCTTAGAATTAGCCAACCGGTGATTCTGTTCAATCGGAGTACTGGCACAACGAGCACCAAGTTGGCCAAAAGCAGAAAGTAAGTCAAAAACATACTTGCCCTGAGAGCTAATGCCAGCCTTAGAGCGAGCCACCTCAATGCCCAAGAAGTACCAAAGGGAGCCAAGATCCTCAACCTCAAACTGATGGCCAAGATAGCTCTTAACCTCAGGAATTCCGGCAGTGTCATCTCCAGTGAGAACAATACCATCATCAACATACACAATGAGTGCAACTATCTTACCGCCTGAATGACATAACAAACTATCATCAGCTGCACTCTGATGGAAACCAAACAAGAGCATGGCAATGCCAAAGCGATCATACAAAGCTTAAGGAGATTGCTTGAGGCATTACAAGGAGCGACGAAGACGATAAACCGTAATAGAATGAGAAGGAAAATGAAAGCCCGCGCCGGGGGGGGGGGGGGGGGGGGGGACGATAAACCGTAATAGAATGAGAAGGAAAATGAAAGCCCGCGCCGGGGGGGGGGGGTGGGGGGAGGAACCATATACACCTCCTCCTACAAGTCACCATTGAGAAAAACATTCTTGACATCTAAGTGAAATAGAGGCCAAGATCGAATCGTTGCCCACTTACATATAACTGGACAACCTCCTTCTCAATAACTAGAACCTCTTTGTAGACTCACAAGATCTTGCCTAAGCCCTTCTAGGTGTTCGAAACCAACAATAACAATTTACCTAATCCTAGAAGAGTGTAATAAAAAAAAAAAAAAAGAAAAAAAAATGGAGGAATAGAAGTGTAAAGGCTTGAATGAGATAAATTACTCATTCTGAGCTATAGTATTTATAAATAAAAGGAGCACATGTTAATATTACTGGAAAGGAAATTAAATAAAATCATTGCGGATTCTATGCCTAGGTATATGCATAAATAAAGTCAAACTCTTAGCTAATATGGTAAATCACATCCCATGATTTGTGGCTATCATATCGCGGCTAATATGGTAAGTCACATCCCATGATTTGTGGCTATCATATCTCACCTAACATTCCCCTCAAGTTGGTGTGTCGATATCTGAGACGCTCAACTTAGACAATGCATCCTCAAACACGATCTTGTTGACACCTTCGTAAGAATGTTTGCAAGTTGCTGAGAGCTAGTGAGAAACGGAGTGCAAATTTAACAAGAGATGATCTTCTCTCGAATCAAGTGACGGTCAACCTCTATATGCTTAGTTCTATCATGTTGAATGGGATTTGCTGCAATGCTAATGGTAGACTTGTTGTCATAGTAAAGAAAAATGGAAGCAACACTGGAAGGCACAAGTCTATCATCAACATTCTTAGCCATAACAACTCACACACTCCAAGAGCCATAGCCCTATACTCAACCTCTACGCTAAATCGAGAGACAACATCTTGCTTCTTTCTATGCCAAGTAACCAAGTTGACACAAATAGTAGTACAATAGCCCAAAGTTGACCTCCTATCTGAAATTGATCTTGCATAATCAGCATCTGTCCAGGCCTCACCTGTAATTGACAACAATTGCCAAAAAAATACCACGGCCCGAACAACCTTTCAACTAGCTAAGGATACAAATAGTTGCATCAAGGTGAAGGATACGAGGAGAGTGCATGAATTGGCTCATGACACTCACAGCATAAGCAATGTCAGGTCGAGTAATCGATAAATAAATGAGCTTCCCAACAAGTCATTGATAGTATTGAAGATTTTATGGAGAAATCAGTGGAGGAAAATCTTCTAGTAATTTATGTTGTTTCCTAATATTGAAGATTTACTATTAGTAGAGGAATCAGTGGAGAAAAATCCTCCTTGTTTACTATTTTATATCTCTTTCCATTCCCATCATTTATTCTTTTATATAAAGGAGCATTCACCATTGAATTTTGAATGTGTTGAGAGAGTATTATAAAAGTTATGTACTCCTGTGGGCTCTTTGTGCCGTGGATGTAGCCCTAGTGGTTGAACCACGTAATATAAGTGTTTTTCTTGTCTCATTTATCTCTTCACTTCTATTTCAACATGGTATCAGATCCTAATTTGTCTTCCTATGTTCGGGCCTCTATTTTGGGGTATTCCCTTAGCATCCGAAA